CCCCCAATTAATATTTATTATTATTATTATTATTTTTTTTTTGATAAGTTATGTTTGTTATCGATTGAATAATGTATACATTCTCTAAGATTTATGATAGTTTCTTTTCAAAAATTACACAAATCTCCATTTTTCAATTTTTTTATTTTTTTTTTTATTTTTTAAATAATGCACACATCACTTAACCACTTTTCTAATGCTTAAAATAACCTTGCAAACTATCTTCCACCCTATAACTCCTTTAATAAAAATGTAATACTTAAAATATAATTTTAACACTTCTAACTAAATTAATAAAATGTACTATTTAGACTATCAATTTTAATACTTCTACATTTAATTGATTTGAATAATTATATTAAGAAACACAAGATGAAGGGATTACAATTGTGATTTTATCTTAAATGAATACTTAGAAATTTGATAGTTGTGAAGGAATTGTTTTCTTCTTTAAAGATAATAAATAACAACGTACACTTTCTTAAGATTGGGATTCAAACTTCATTTTTTTTTTTTTTTTTTATAACTGGTTTTTATTCTATTTACGTTAACAGGGCGTTGGTAAGAAAATGAAGTGTTCGAATGATCAATCAAGTGGAGTTTAAATCAATAGTACCCTCTTAAATATTTTTGTTATTTTGTATAGAGTGGTTGGTTTATGGCCAAAATAAAATGTTTAGTATTTTGTTTTTTTAAGATCCTATCCTATTTTATGACTGAATGGAAATGAACTATGTTAATTCGCTATGTCATATGTAAATGCATTTTGAGTATTTCAAATTAGAAATTAAAAAAATTGATAGTACAAACAATATTTTGTCGTTGATTTAGTTAGTCGAACCACAATATGGGAGAAAGTTCATGACTATATTTTAATCATTATCACTATTTTTTATGCTAACATGTGAAAGAAGGTTAATTAACAAAAATATACATTATTCAAAAACTTAAAATAAAGGAGGTTTGCGTAATTTTTTTTGAAGGGATAAGTGTCATTGAAATTGTCATAAACCTCAGAGAATGTATATATTATTTAAAACTTGAATTAAGAGAAATTTGTTTAATCTTTTAAAAGGGAAGAGTTACATCTACTCAATAATTAAAAGAAACTAAATTCTTGATAAAAACTTTAATAAGCCATGTCCATCCATCTTCTAACATTTATATAGAGATTGTCCCGCTAGTGACTTAGAACCCTTTAAGCACATACAAGCACAACTATTCATTTTGACAAATTAAGAATATGATTTAGGAGCTTTGCCAAAGTTTTCAACTTCGTTGGGAAAGCTTATTTATAAACGCTAGCTAAAATGATGATCGAAATTGCATCTTGATTGTGAAATAATACAAACCAATTTCAATTTCTACTTGTCTTTGCCATTGAACATATAAATTTTCCTTTTGTTAAACATTAAATTATACATAGTGTAACATCTGTAAATCGTTAAAGAAATGAGATGGATACCTAAAAAAATTGCACTAACACATACATATTCTTCAAGCATATATAATTTGATCGTATTTGTTCAACAACAATAATACTTTATTATTTTAGAATATCAACATTCATGAAGTTCTTCTTCTTCAATAGCATTAGGACATATTTTTGTAAAAATATTGCACAAAATTTGTTCTTTAGGAACAGTTTAGTAATCTTCTAAAATAGTAAAAGGAAAAAAAAAATAATAATATTCATATAGACGATGTTATACTTCATCAAGAGCATTTATGATATTTTTGAAAATAGTGATCTACATAAAATTGTTCATCAAAATCAACATAATATTTGTCATGAGAATTAATTCATATGAAGTTTTTCTTTCTTCATGAACATCAAACGCATATTCATATAAAATATTGATACTCCTTCCGTTCCAATTATATAGGCTGAGTTTCATTTTTCTCTTGTCCCAACTATATAGGCTTGTTTCCTAATTTAGAATATTTTGTTTTATTCCTTTACCAATATATCCTTATTCAATTTTCCCTACTTAATATGCCAACTTATTGAAATCATCCAAATGCACATATTTCTCACTTCTTGGAAGCTTGGAACAACTTTCATTTCTTCTTCTTCAAATTAAATCATCAAATTCTATATTAATTCTAACAATAATTTACTACCATATACTGAAAATTAAATAAGGGTAAATTAGGAAAGATTTTGGCAAAAATTAATTTTCCAATAACATTAAAGAAGATTTCTTAATCCGTGTGAAAAATGAAACAGGTTTATATAATTGAGACGGAGGGAGTTCAATTTTATAATATGATTGTTTTGCTTCTTTATTAGTGTAAATATTATTTAAATCATAATATACATAATTCTGATAAGGTAAAAAAAATTAACTAATGAAGATGGCAGAAAAGGTGCAATTAAATTTCATGTAAAGCAACAAACCCGTGCTTTCTTTGGGTTCATTTAACACAAAAACTGCAGTCCTACCCAGTGAAATTTTTGGCTATTTTAAGAAAATCTTGAAACAAAGGAATGATGATAGTAATAATATTGGAATGATTGAAATAAATTGAACAGAGTTCTATAATTGGTGAGCAATTGATTAATTCGCAATGTTGGAATAATTCATGATATTAACTCAGACCAATTCCAGATGTCCACTTGGACTACATTAATGCCACGTATGATTTTCATCATTCAATATAAATTTTTTTGTCCATGTGGACGGATGAAATTGGTGATGGACGTGTTGTTGGGAATCTACTTATACATATACAGCGAAAAATTAAATTATTTCGATTCCCATCGAGAATCTCTTTGTGTTTAGATAGAAATCGTGATAAAGATTGTACCTTTGACGAATTTTGCAAACATTTTGCTGTTCTTTTCGTTCCAGCAATCTTGATTCGCCACCCACAGCTGTCCAGTCGTCCAGCCTCCAACGGTGATCCACTTAGAGAATAAGATTGCAGCTACCAAGGTTTTTCCTCTTGTGCCAACAAGAATAATGAAAAACATATGAATCTCAAACTCTAGCCATATATTTATATAAACCCAAACGGGCTCGGCCCGGTCCGATCCAATATTTAATTAATCTATTTAATTAAACCCGGTTCATGAATTAATTAATCCAATTAATTAATTCGTGAATATAAATAACAAATTCAATTAATTAATTTACCCAACGATTGTTAAATTAATTAATTGACAAATTGCAATCTTTCAATTCTCTTTTGTGTATGACCCATTAGGTTCCCGATCACGATGCCTAACGACGTAAAATATTATTTTGATCTAATCAAAATTGATAAATTAAAACACCCTTTTAATTTATCGTCAATTCACACTCGTCGTCCCAGATTGACATCTAACAATGTGTCAGGACAATACATGTGACGGGAAATGTTACGTGGTATGACAAAACCAAACTCGTTCGTTTACCGTGAAACTATAATCCCTTCGTCTATATGATCCGATCAATTACTAGATATGGAAGTGTGTCAATCTCGATTATCAATCATATCTTTCACTCTACTATTAAGTCAATATAAGTCGAAAACTCCTTTTCGACTTATGAGTACACCTTGACCAAAGATTTCATCATCGACTTAATTGAATAAAACGCAGATCATAATCTCCTACTATCTAAGAGTGACGAATCCTTTAGTGATCAATCACAACCTTCATACGATTCTTGACGTACCCAAACGATGTCATATTAGCGGCCCTTTGCAGAGCAACATCCAACACCGCCAAAGTATGACTGTCCTCATATAAGGTACCATGATGACCTCAAGTCAAAGGACCAATTCCACTACCGAACGTTAGAGATTAACCACCGACACTCAGATAGTTATCCATGTGAAATCTCTCGACAGGTCTCCAATATTTTGTTTTATAACAAAACATCCACGTGTTCATTTAAGTGTCATCACACTTTAACTTGTGAGATTGGTTACTTACCTCACAAGTAAGAAATGCCACACGTGATGGTTTATCCGTAATAACGATATCCGTATCTCGTTATTACTTACGACCACGGACGATTTAAGATTCAATCAAATGTAATTTGTATCTCACAATCACAACTCTTGTGATTAACAAATTACGTAGATTTGTCTATTAATTAAATAATGGATCTGTCATTAAATTGCATTAATTATATATCAAAAGTATTTATGTCCAAAGTTGATTGGACCTAGGGTATAATACTTACAAACTCCCACTTGCACTAAATCCAATCACTTATGTATCATAAGTCTACATAACGATCATATTTATGCTACGACAACTCTTTGTCAGTGGATCTGCAATATTGTTAAATGTGGGAATATGTTCTTCTCTTTATGTCATTTCTATGTATTATCTCTTTGATGAAATTATACCGTCTTAATACATGTTTGGATCATTGATGAGATCTTAGTTCCTTTACTTTCGCAATGGCTCTATTGTTATTACAATACAATGGTATGTGATCAACAATATCAGGAACTACTCCAAGTTCATTTATGAACATCATGATTCAGATTGCAACTCTTTTCTACTTCTGAAGTAATCATGTTTTAG